ACAATCCTTCACTCCACCAAATAGGTTATGGGGGGGCCATATGAAAGATGAAGGTCCCCATAAATATCCAATCCTTTATATGGAAAGTGGCTACTAGGGCATTACCAACTAGAAGTAATCTATGGAAAAGAACTAGGGATGACAATAGATCGGAAAAAAATGAGTATTTGTCCAAACTCATCCCGTTTGGATCAGGGATACGGTGGACGTATACAAAGATACTCATATAAACCCGTGCGAAGATGGATGAGGGGATGAACTGAAACTCATCCCCGCCTCGCCTCTTACAAATCCATTTGTGAGGTTTTATGAGTTTTTTTTTTTATTTTTTTCTTAAATTCATAGAAATTAATTGTTATAGGCTAGGGCGATTGTGGGGACGGGGATGGGGATCAAAATTTACCAGCAAGGCGAGAAAAGGGATTAAAATTTCTTCCTCTAACGAGAGTGAATCAGGGGTGGATGAATATTTTTGAAGCGGATACGGGGGTGGAGACTACTCCCCCCACCCTTGCCCCCGCGCTGGTCCACTGTCATCCCTAAAGAGAACACTTCAACAATACCCCATATGCCCTTTTTGTGAAGATGAGGAGGAAACCATTGAACATCTACTCTTGTTTTGCCCATGGACTAAGTCATTATGGCATGCGTCTCCCCTGAATCTTAATATCGAAAGGTGTAAAATAACTAGAATTGAATACTGGCTAACAGAGCACCTTGTGGACAATGCTAATTCAGGAGAATAACCCCTCATAGCATGCACTTTGTGGAGTATATGAAAAGCAAGGAATGAATGGATTTTCAACTACAAGCAACCCAGGCGGAGATAGGTCGTACATTCTGCTTTAACAGCTACGATGTAGATAATGGCACCGGTGGAAAATCAACACCAAGGGGAGTCAAGAGGACCCAATGTACAGATCTGGAAAGCACCTAGAAGAGGATGGGTTAAGGTAAACTGTTATGGTGCCTTCTTAGCAAAGACAAAATGGGGAGTTTTTGGAGTTTTAGTGCACAATCTGTTGGACTAAAATAGATTTTTGTAATTAAATTCAGATTTTTAGTTGACTTTGAATCTAAATTAAAGTGAGACCCGCTCATTGTTTCGAGTAAATTTTCCATGGGTTCGTATTCTACTCCATGAAGAGAATAATGTAATATATTCAATTGTTTAAATCGAGTAAGAAATGAATGAGAAAATAAGCTTCAAAGTGACCCTTTTAGAATGTGAAAATAGAAATTATGTAATGTGGCCCACATTAGTTAAGGAAGAAATTATACTTATCTATATAATAAATCAGATAAATGTTTGATCTTATGGGGGGTATATTTCCCCCCTCCCCCCTGAATTTCAAAAGCTCAATACACACATTCCACATCACAAAACTGCACATACATATACACACTCCAACACACATATTTTCATGCATGCACAGTATAATAATTCAGTGTATAAAGACTTTAGTCGCAGGGTATCGCTAGTACATATATATACTAAGTTTACTCTATGGGTTAGGCCTCAAGAGGTATCACACTTTTATAAGCGGAAGGAGCATCGCTCGCCTCACCGCGTCACGACCATGACCCGGTCGGGCTCGAGTGTAGGTTAGACCGATCATTATTTTTGTTTTGAGAAAATTCATTTAACAAATTGGGTGTGAGTTTCTTGACCCGAAATTTAATTTCAAGTGTCCTTTGGAATTCAAATTTTGCAAATATTCGAATTTTGTTTCCCTCCGGACTAAAATTTTGAATTCATGTACATTCCTAATGAGCAAAGTTCAATGGTGTCTTCTAGGATTCATGTGTCTATTGGGTTGCATCTTTTCGCATGGTGACTGTTCGGGTCAGTCACAATTTTGTTTATAAATAACTCAATCACATAATTATTCTGCACACAATTTTTGAAGTCATTAAGGCAGTCTCATTACATCATACTTTTAACATTAAGATAGTCTGCATTGAGAGAGTACACTACATAGTTTCTAGTTTGCTAAGCGAATTGAATTGAAATGCTATTTTCAGCTGTGTGAAGATCATTGAATAATAGGAGGTAGACTTTTTGATTTCTATAAGCACCAAGTATGGGGGCAAAATCTGTCTTAAGGATATAGTGTCAAACACTAACCTTGATTTGCAGAAAGTTCAATAACAATTCCTAATTTGCAAGCGGATCAGTTTATATAATGATTTAATTACATGTTTATGTGTAACTATTTTATTATTTTCTATAACTGTTACTGTTTTATTCTTAATTGTATGATATAAATCAAAAATCTCAATAAGTGATTTTGTTATATTTAAAAAACCGCAACCAACAGAATCATCAAGGCAACCTGTTATTAGGGATGCAGGCAGTTTCAAAAATGCCTCCCCGCTGGTGGCAGAGGCATGGGCAGTAAGAAGAGGATGTCGACTAGCCGTGAAAGAAGGGTATCATGCAGTAATTATAGAATCATAGTCAACGGCACTAAATGATGCTCTGCTCAAAGCTCCATCTACCCCTGTGCGGGAAATAGAAGTTGTCTAGAGGGATATATGGGCATACGCACAACAAATACCCACACTACATTTCCAACCAACCAGAAGGATAGGGAACCAAGCTGCCTATTTCATCGCCAACTAGGTGAGCCGGAATATAATATCTCCCTACTGGACAACAATCCCTTCTGAGCAGATCAAGCAGCTGTTTGACCGACAAGGCAAGGGAGGGCATGGGCTAGATTAAGGCTCTGTTATCTTTTTCTGTTAAAACTTAGCTTAGCACAAGAATGTCTCAGATTAATTCAGTGTACATCCCATTCAAATTAACAGTATAAAATTCATCCTCAAAATTTCAATTTGGAGAATGGTGGAGCAATGTTTCTACGGTCCGTTTGTTGATGGCAAACTTCAATTTGATTTGTGCGTTGATGTCTTCAATGCTCCACCTTCAACTTGAGTCATGGAATTTCCTTGATTATAGGGATGAATTTGTCATAGTATTTTGTAAATGCATTTGTATATAAGGTTTGCAGAAGTTCTTAAGCAAATGATTATGTGGGTAGAGTGATCAATAAATGCATGTTTTAGTTTGATCATCTATCTGCTGAAGTGACGGAAAGAGGAAAAAATAGCTCTTCCTTTTGAGTAAATATTTATTGAATATAATTAAATTTTTAAATAAATAAAATTAAACATTTACTCATAAAAAGAGAGAGAGAGCAAAATATTTTTAGATATCAATTTTAGGGAGCAAAACAGCAAAACGTCAGTAGCACTAATGATAATTTATGTATTTTTAAATGATCAAAATTTATTTATTGAATATAATTAAATTTTTTAATAAATAAAAATTAACCATTTTACTCGTAAGAAAAAAAGAGAGAAAAAACACTCACTAAAAATATTATTTGAATTGACATTTTTAGAAGGCGTCAGTTAACTGACATTTTTAGGTTGTCTTAGTCGCCCCAATGATGCACAAAAAAGACAATTGGTCTGACGTTTTTAGTTTAAAAATATTACTCCAACTGATGTCTTTTAGTTTAAAAACGTCATTCCAATTGACTTTTTAAAACAGTTTAGGTTTCAAAAGTACTTTCAAAATAACTATCTTCTGAAAAAAAATTTGGGGTAAAAACCTCCCCCCCTCCCCAACCCACTCATTGAGAACAGACTCAACGTCTGTTTTATTTTAGTCCCTCACCCCTCTTTTTTCCTTTTACCTTTTTTACTTTATTATAATTATTGCTTTAAAATTTAATCCTTCCTCTTTGTTGGGTGTACAAAAATTGTTTATTCCGTGATTTTAATATTAATGAAATAATATTGCTTAGTAATTTGATGACAATTTCAATTTAAGTTTATTTGATGAAAATTAAATGCTTGAAACTAGTTGAAGTGATTTCGACTTCGTGTCAAATCTTTTTTTCTCTTCAACTTGATGTTATCTTGTATAAATAGATGTTAACCCAATAAATATATTTAATTAATAAATTATTAAGCTTATCTGTATAAATAAAAGAATTTTATTTATATTTTCACATATTTTCATTTTTTTTTTCTCTCTGTTTCGATTGCAATTAATTAACATCACCAACGTCCTCTTTTTCAAATTTGGATCCTAGGTATGATTTGGTTTCTTTTATCCTAGTCGGATAATTTTGTACCAACAAAATATCAAGCTATGTTGAGTAATAAAATAATAATTTTTCATGGCATATTCAAATATATACACAATGGAATGTTTTATTCAAATCAGATTTAAAGGATTGTCTAGTGGAACTTTAAATACTATTGCCTAACCCATCAAATCAGGTTATTCCTTATAGATGTCTTACTTTAGTTTCTCATTAAGAAAAAAGTTCGCTATAAAAGCAGGTGTGATTAGATGCATTCCTTTTCTGCAAATGCAACCGCTTGCAAAGAGAAATGTAAATAAACAGGTGGTTAGATGCGTTTCTTTTCAGCTTAAGAGATTTTAGTCATTTTTACATTCTTGTCATGCCGTGCTGCTGAACTTTTTCGATCAAAAAATTATGAGCCAGTGCTGAGATGTTTGAGAAGCCTATGCTTTATGTTCCGTATGATATAGAGAATAGAATCCTTCGACCAAAGGGCTTCAGAGTGTTGTGTCTCTGCCATCTAGGCCTTTCCCACTTGGATCGAGCTCAAGAATAAATTAATGAGGCTGAAAAAGTATGCCGATCATACCTTCAATCTGGAGTTTAGTGATTGCATCTGAATAATTAAATCCTTTTCAACCTGAGTTATTTTTCATATCCTGATGACCTTCTTATTTTATGCAGCTTGAACCCAACATCGCCTGTGCCTTCCTTAAGGTATGGTCTCTCTCTCTCTCTCTCTCTCTCTCTGTGGACACCTGCCTTATTGTTACACACAGACCTTGTGAAACCTACCATGTTTTGTCTAATGGGTGCAGTTAATTCCTATATATTATTTCATATAGAAGTTTACTTGTATGTGATATATGCAATTTAAGATCTACCTGCAAAAGAATGAGCTCAATAAAAGCCATTTCTCAGGTGCAAGCAATGTTACCCTGCCCTGATTTCAGTCTAGACTTTCTCTCCCTTTCTGCTCATGCCGCTGTTGCTTGCCGTGCTCTATCAGTTGCTGTCGCGTCTCTATCCCATCTGCTAAATTTTTTATCCTTAGGGAAATCAATGCCAACGACTGAAGTCATGGTTCTTCGCACCCTTGTCACAGTCCTAATGCAAGAGCCTGGCAACGAGTCTGATATCCTCAAATACGATTGCCTGAACTTGGACCTGACAGCTTCCTTGGGAAAGGCGAAGTTGGAAGACGGGAATGGAATTGGTTTGCAGTAAACTTATGGAATATTGGGGCAAGAACTGGGAAGGAGAATAAGTATGAATTGTGTGCAGAATTCTTTAGATTGGCATCAGAATTTTTAGTATTAAGGTTTATGGCGAAGTGGAGGGAAACAATGTGATGGTTTGCAAATCACTGATATTGACTGTGTCAGCCATGATAGCTGATGAGAAGCAAAGAAATGCAACATTGCTGGATACCGAAGTCAAACAAGCCATTGAACTGCCAGATAGAGCTGGAAAGGTAACAATCACTCAGCTCTCCAATTGTATCATAAATTGAACACATAATTTCAGTGAGAGATGAGTGTAATTCAGTTAAAATACAGCCTTTATTTGATGACTTTTATGGTTGGTTGCAGATACTAACGTTAATTGCAGCTGGAACTCGATCAGGTGACGATCAGATCACCACCGTTGGGTCCAACTTCTTCTTTTTATACACTTGGACTTCGTATGATCTACATTTCAAGGCTCAGTGATATGGGATCTCCGCAGCTCCTCTTGATAAAGAGCTTTTCTAGCTCAGTTTTAAAATCCAATGTACCTCCTTCAGCTAGGCGTTAGTGCCTCACAAGGGCCGCGGTCCAACCCTGAAGTAGCTACCTTCTGCTTAAATACGTGCCTCTCGTCCCTCCTCGCTTCCCCTTTGCCAGATTATCAATGTGTGGCTCTTGTTCTCAGGAAACGGATTTCAGTGGCTGCCATTCATAAGGGGAATACAGATGATGATGTAGTTTATGGGGCACACAAGCAAGCATACCGGATCATGGTGGGGTTGAAGGAAGGGGAGTATCGGAGTGAAGAGGGGAAATGGCTTGCCATGACAGCATGGAATCGCGCTGCTCTCTCAGTGAGGCTGGGGTATATTGAGTCAGCAAAGAAGTGGATGGATATTGGATTGGAACTGGCTGGGAAGGTTCCAGAAATGCAAACTTATAGATAGGTCATGCATGGAAGATTTCGTTGCTGGCTTCGAGAAGAAATTTCATGCCCATGACAAACCTGAAAACAGGTCTCTAGTAGTAACATAATTTGCAAGTCTTCATCTTGTACAGAAGATCAATGGTACAGCTTCAAGGTCTTGGGACTCTTGCACAAATGGCTATCGGTACAATCCATTCTTTTTGATGTCCAGTTGAGACTTTATGCACCTAGCCCCGCCTTCTGTCTTCAGATTCTGATACGTGGATAGCAAAAGCAGATTTCTGGTACGTATTTCCAACCTCTGCCTGGTTTACAGAATGCATGAAATGCTTCAATTTATCGGATTTTGTCACTTACAATAGTACTTAATGGGAGAGGATTACAAACCTTAAGATTCAGATCTTATTGTCATTGCTTTTACAACTGAAAAAAAAGGATACCTCACATAGATTTTAGAACTTTTATTTGGTAAAACAAGATATTTTTGCTATGTAAAGATCAATTTTCCCCAAAATAGATTACATTTTTTGTTAAAAATAATTTTCATGGATTTTATGCCCGTTTGTTTAGAGTTTCCAAATTCCAACTATATGCATGCTGGCATGTAATGACTTCTTAAGAATCCGTTACATCTTCTTTGGTGATCCTAGTTTTTATACTGAACACGAATATAAAATCGAGGTTCACCCCTAATGGTGTGAAACTTTCCAATTTTCAATCCCAATTTTGTGGGATACTTACTCCCAATTTCGTTATACTAATTCAATTTTAATTTGTTTATGTCAGACTTAGCTTTTTTGACGAAATTCTATTACATACTAATCAATATTCTAGTCTTGAATGACACCGGATTTAAGGATTTTAAATTTGTACTATACTACTAATAAAAATACACTATCAAGAAAATCTTTTATTTGACCATTTTATCCCTACAAGAAAACATAATCACAATACTACCATATTTAATGTAAAACTCATTTTAATAGAACTTAATTAACATTAAATTTAACAAGAAATTCGTGTTAATACAAAATTCATTAGAATTATTATACATAACCAAACTTTTTATCTTCATTTTAAATGGTAACTTTAACGGTTAAAAGGAGTTAAACTTATTTTTATTAGTTGATGGTCAAACTATGAATAAATACACATATGAGCCTTATTTATCATCAAACTCCAACTTTTCATGTTCTTCTATTTTACAATTTTAATATCAATGCATCCTCTTATTAGTAACACAAAAGTAGGGTTGTTTTTACTTTTTTATTTTTGTTGGATGTGGTTGTTTTGCTTACCGCGATTAATTTAATTGCTTATTTTATTTATGCAACCTAACTTTCTTTTAATTGTGTATAATTGTATGGCCACTATAACTTAAAGCCCTTTTCTTTATGTTGTTTTTTTTATAATTCAATAAGTGTTCGTGCTTTTATTTAGTTGTTATATATATATATATATATATATGTATGTCGTAATATGTATTTGTGTCATTACAAGGATATTGCAAATATAATTTATCTAAATTATTAGTTTCATATCAAAATTTCTAAATCTTAGGAGATAGCTTTATAAGAAAATAATTAATCAAAATTGTAAGAGTTAATAGAAAAAGAAATAAAAACTAATATTCTTTCTAAAAGCATTCCAGTATAAATCGTACAAATTGTTCATAAGTATTTATAGGTTGTTGTATTTATATGAGTATTTTAAATAATTATAAAAATAAAATTAAAACAAAAATTATTATTTAAAACGATTCACGTGTAAAGCACGTGTGTATGATCTAGTATTATTAAACGAGCAATGCTATTGAGACCTAATTTGCTGACTTAGTTTATATGATATTTAGATCAAGTGTAGGACTCATCAAACATTAGAATTTGGTGTTGATCTAGTAGTTGTACTGAAATCACATAATTATATTAATAAATTAATCAAATTTTTATGTTTAAATAGAATAACTCTAATTAAACGGTATCACAGTAACCCAAAAACTCTCACCATAATGTTTGGATTACATCTAGTATTGTTGTGCTAACTTCTACCTTCAACTTGTGATATTTTATGGTACATTGGTAATGGTGGTGGTCTGCGCTTTGACTATAGAGAATTGTGTTCTTTAAAATTCCACTACCAGTATAGGAACTCACTGGAAAAAATCCTCTAAATTGCGTTCAAAATCATCCTCACCCAAAAACACTCAAAGGTCGTATACGTAGAAGTCATTGACCAAAGCAACCAAACCCTCGCAAAAAAAGACCAAGACCTATAACTTCGTGGAACGGTCCGAAAGAAGAAAAAACGAAGAAACCGAAAAGGAGTGAAGTGGCTATGGCCAATGGTCATCTTCGGCCTTGGTCTTTAAATACGAGTCAAATATTTGAATAAAAAACCTGGATTTAATACAAAACTTGCCAAACTCAAATTAAAGGAGTTAAACAGCGACAAATATAAATTCAAAAGGAAGATAAAATATGATAATTATATAAATATGATGAAATCCGACTATTGAAAATCTGAATAAAAAATTGAGTTTGTATTAGTTAGAGTTTATTTTTATTTAAATTTTTTTAAGTAATTATTGAAATAAAATATTGAGATGTTGAATAAGTGCGTGACTCTAAAGCTACGCACCATCCTGGTGTACGAAAGGGGGCGACTTGTTTCATTTCTAGGACTTTTACATTCTCTTCATTAATATGATTGTCCCCCTGCACCTCCTCCTCCACCACCACCACCACCACGTCCACATCCACCCCCACACCCACCACCACCTACTTAAGTTTGACATCCCAGCTTTTTTTGTTGGGTCATCGTGTTGTTCCCAAGAGCTTATGTCTTTACCACAGGTGTTCACAGTTAAAAGGTCAAAGTTTTCTACCCGGCACTTTAACCCGATATATCAAATTAATTAGTTATGATTGGCTAAGATTTAACTCANCTGGTGTTCACAGTTAAAAGGTCAAAATTTTCTACCCGGCACTTTAACCCGATATATCAAATTAATTAGTTATGATTGACTAAGATTTAACTCATATTTAAAAATAATAACAAAAACAAAAACAAATTAAAAAAAATTCCTATCATATGCATTCTAGTTTATCATATTTTCAAATGCACCATTTTAATTATTCAAAACATCACTGACGCTCTTTTTAGTTTATATTTAAACATTATTGACACCCTCCGGTTGTTAAACTATCTATTTTAACAAAAAAAAAAATTATTTAAAATACCAAAATTACCCTTACATAAACCCCAAACAATCTTTCTACATAAAATTTAAGTTGATTAAAATTCATTTTTTTACATATTAAAATTCAAATTGATTAAAATTTGTTTTTCTACAAATTAAAATTTGATTTGAACTGATTAAACTTTATTATTTTATGTATTAAAATTTGAGCCTATTAAAAAAAATTATGTATTAAAATTCAAATTAATTTGAGCTCTACCGGAACTGTTAATGCTGATTAAAATTTGCTTTGAGTCGATTAAAATTTATATTTTTTTACTTATTAAAATTCGTGTCAATTAAAATTCAATTCAAGTTGATTAAAATTTATTTTTATGTATTAAAATTTAAGTCGATTAAAATTTATATTTTTTTATTTATCAAAACTCGGGCTGATTAAAATTCAATTTGAGTTGATTAAAATTTGATTCGAGTCGATTAAAAATGAATTTTAATCGATTCAAATTTTAATACGTAAAAAATAAATTTTAATTAGCTCGAATCAAATTTTAATCCGCTCAAATTTAATACATAAAAAATTTCAAAAAATAGAGAAAGTTTCATTAAAGATATTTTTATTTAGAGGGGATGTAGATAAAATTTTTCATAAAATATATCATGAGTAATTTAGTAAAATTGTATTCTAGTTAACATCATTAATCAGACATCGGGTGTCGATGAAAATTCAAAAAATAGAAAGAATGTCGGTAAAAATTTAAAAAATAGAGGATGTGTCTTTAAATATATAGTCAATAGAAGAAGTGCGGTCAAATTTTCCCCCAAAAAAAATCAAGATAAAAACGGGGAATCATACTATAGACCTCTCCAATCTTTTACTACATCAGTGGACTTGGACTTCAACTTGGACTTCGGTATCAACGTTAGTATTGAGTGAAATACTTGTATGTATGTTTTCTGCCATCGGCACTTTGGGTAGTGGGAGTTCTGCTGTCACTTATCAAACGCTATTTGATGTCATGTAACTCGGTAACTCACGGGATTGGATCCCTTCTCATACACTTTTCTTGAATTTCTTTGGTATACACTTGCTAAAATTTAAGTGAGCATGGGTAGATTATGTATAAAAGTTAATTCTAATGAAGAAGTCTAAAAGTTACAATCATNACACTTTTCTTGAATTTCTTTGGTATACACTTGCTAAAATTTAAGTGAGCAGGGGTAGATTATGTATAAAAGTTAATTCTAATGAAGAAGTCTAAAAGTTACAATCATAATAACACTATTGGACCACACATCATTGTTATATCATTAAGTTAACAAATTAAATTAATTTTTTAAATCCCAATAACATTGCTCATTCCGAAACTCACTATGCAGATTATAGGAAAAGTATTTTGTAATATGCAGTGTTATTTACGGTACACTTCCTACCTTTCCTCAAAGACTCGCATTGTTTTTAAAGTATTGTTATGCTCAACAAATTGTTCGCTAAATTTTGTATATCAAATAAGTATAAGAGTATCTCTAATGATGACTCAAATTTAAATAAAAAGTTTGATTTGATATAAATCATTCCAATGAAAGAATTTAAATATTTATTCAAAGTTTTTATAAAATTTCCATATTATCCCAAAAGCTTATCAACAATGGAGAAACTGACTAATTTCTGCAACAAACCCATCAATCAAACCCAACTCAGTCGGTGCCCTTCACCCTCAAATCTCTCATACCAACTCAAATCGGTGCCTGATTTGTTGCCAAAAACTGAAAGCTTGTGATTTGTTCACATGGCCTTGAAGAAGACTGTTCCAATGGAACCTGTGAGCCCATGAATTTGTTCCAATGGAGACCGAAAACCGAAAGCGTTGAAAGGGGCAAATGCGTTGAAGAAGATTGTTCACATGAATTTTTTATTTTTTGAAAGCAATCATAGGCGTGGACACAGAAGAAGGAATGTCTTGGGTTTGGGTGGGTGGGAGAGAAAAGTTACTGTTGAAATTTTGATATAGAATCTGAATCTCTTTTAATTTAGTGTTTGAATTAATGGGTCTCCTTCACTCCCACTAAACTCTCTCAATGCATAAGATTTCACCACTTGGGATACACAGTTTTATTATTGTATTTATGCGTATTAGAAGGACAAAGAAAATCTGAATGCAAGTCTAAATTCAAACCAAGGCTGTCAACATTTGCACCTAGAAACGAAAGTATGAATAGAGTCAAACGATTTCCGAAGGCAAACCCTTAACTCTTTAAGTCTTGTTGGAATTCCAAGTTAAAAGTGTGATGTTCATGGAGTAGACGTTAACATAAAAGTGTGACGTTAAAGGTGGATCTTGGCCGCTCTAAGGTCATTTTTAAAAGGCTACCTAAAATAGCGAGGAAAGCTCTGTCATACTCATGGTTCCATTCAAGGTCATTCAGTTATTTTTCGCAATCGAGTTCAAGGTCACAAGAGACTGTATCGTGATTATTTTGATGAACTGTCTATCTATTCCCAAAATTTATTTCGAAGACGGTTTCGAATGAATTGAGTCTTTTCTTTCGTATTCTATGCAAGGTGGAAGATTGTGATCCATATTTTGTCTAAAAAAAAATGTTGTTGGAATTACTGGCTTGTCTTCTTTTTAAAAGATGACAACCGTCACAAGGATGCTGACTTATAGAGTTGCAGTAGATGCTGTTGATGACTATGTGAGGATTGACGAAAGCACCGTAATAAAAAGTTTGAAAAAATTTGTGAGGGCAGTAGTATTAATTTTTTTCAATGAATACCTCAGATCACCAAACAACGATGACATTGCCAGATTATTAGCAATGAGTACCAACCGTGGGTTTCTTGGGATGTTGGATAACATTGATTGTATGCATTAAAAAATGGAAGAATTGTCCAACAGTATGGAAATTTATGTATTCTAGTCACGTCCATGAACCAACAATTATTTTGGAGGCGGTGACTTCATATGATCTTTGGAGTTGACGTGCCTTTTTTGGATTACTCGAATCTCATAATGATATCATCGTACTAGAATGCTCTTCTATTTTTGTTTTCCTTTCAGAAGGTCGGGCTCCTCCAATCAATTTTTTAGTCGGTGGAAACGATTATACAATGAGATATTACCGAAGAATTTAAAAGAAGTGACATATACTCTAGATTATCTTGTAGTACTAAACCCTAGTAAAAAGAAACTGAAACTAAACATTTTTTTTTGTAATATGGTTGTATGTTGCACCAACTGCTATAATCTGAATAATGCCCTGAACTGAAAAAAAGAAAAAAAAAACATACCCTAAATAACCAGAGATTTGAATTCTTTAATCAAGGCGATTTGTCTACTAATGTCAAAGAGAGATAAGTGATAGAAATTCAGGTGTGAAAAAGCAAATGCTGCCACTGTGCTTTAACACGAAGCGTTCAAATTTTTGACTCTAAATTGAATAATATTACATGAACTTAAAAATTAGATTTAATAATTACAACAATGGATTTTACTATAGGTCCCAACATTTATTGGGACTCATTGCCTATTCAATGGTTATGATTATCAAATTTAATTTTTAAGTGTACTTTTTAAGTTTATATAGTATTACTCCTCCAAATTTTAAAAGTTAGAATTAATAGCAAGTTATCATAATAAGTTGTAAAAATAATTATTGGAAAAGTGATAAAAATATCTACAAAAATTATAAAAATGCTCACAAAAATAATAAAAATTAGAAGAATGGTACCAAAATTGTTTTTCTCCCGCAATTACCTTAGTCTTTTCCCCTAGTCTATCGTGTTTTTCCTACCTTTTGTTTCTTCTTGGGAAAATTCCCGTTACGCGGTTTTACATATGATGTTGACAGAACTGTTGCTTTTTAGCAATCCTCAAACTATATAAGTATAGAAATTCTGGCAATGTAAGGTTCAGATCTTAGTTGAACAACAACTACCCAATGAAGATGAGGAGGAGAACCCAGATCATTCTTTCACTTGTAATACAACTCTTGGTCATTCCGAGTCATTTACATGCCCGATTCGATCGATCACAAGGCAATAGTCCCACGGTAGCAAATGAGGTTCGGGTTGGAGTGATTCTCGATCTGGGTTCATGGGTTGGGAAGACAATTCATAGTTGCATTACCATGGCAATTTCTGATTTTTATGCTGTGAATAGTCACCACAAAACAAGGATTGCGCTTCATACCAGGGATTCCAAAGGAGAACCCTTGCAAGCTTTATCAGCAGGTGAGTTTTTTGCAAAGTGTTTCGAACTCTGGTTTAACTCCTCAATCCATGTTCATCATAAATTGACTCCATAGTTTAAGTAGAAGGTATACTTTTAAGTAACACCAAAAAATCGGGACTGTGACATAATCAATGTTACGTTAACAAAAATCAAAAACTAATTTAGATCTTTTCAATTCACACCCCCTCATATAATTTTTAAAATCATGTAAACATCNGGATTTTACTATAGGTCCCAACATTTATTGGGACTCATTGCCTATTCAATGGTTATGATTATCAAATTTAATTTTTAAGTGTACTTTTTAAGTTTATATAGTATTACTCCTCCAAATTTTAAAAGTTAGAATTAATAGCAAGTTATCATAATAAGTTGTAAAAATAATTATTGGAAAAGTGATAAAAATATCTACAAAAATTATAAAAATGCTCACAAAAATAATAAAAATTAGAAGAATGGTACCAAAATTGTTTTTCTCCCGCAATTACCTTAGTCTTTTCCCCTAGTCTATCGTGTTTTTCCTACCTTTTGTTTCTTCTTGGGAAAATTCCCGTTACGCGGTTTTACATATGATGTTGACAGAACTGTTGCTTTTTAGCAATCCTCAAACTATATAAGTATAGAAATTCTGGCAATGTAAGGTTCAGATCTTAGTTGAACAACAACTACCCAATGAAGATGAGGAGGAGAACCCAGATCATTCTTTCACTTGTAATACAACTCTTGGTCATTCCGAGTCATTTACATGCCCGATTCGATCGATCACAAGGCAATAGTCCCACGGTAGCAAATGAGGTTCGGGTTGGAGTGATTCTCGATCTGGGTTCATGGGTTGGGAAGACAATTCATAGTTGCATTACCATGGCAATTTCTGATTTTTATGCTGTGAATAGTCACCACAAAACAAGGATTGCGCTTCATACCAGGGATTCCAAAGGAGAACCCTTGCAAGCTTTATCAGCAGGTGAGTTTTTTGCAAAGTGTTTCGAACTCTGGTTTAACTCCTCAATCCATGTTCATCATAAATTGACTCCATAGTTTAAGTAGAAGGTATACTTTTAAGTAACACCAAAAAATCGGGACTGTGACATAATCAATGTTACGTTAACAAAAATCAAAAACTAATTTAGATCTTTTCAATTCACACCCCCTCATATAATTTTTAAAATCATGTAAACATCGATATTTAGTGATTTTTGATATTTTTATCATATTTTAAATGATATTGAGATGCTTATTGATGAGTGTATATTGTATAATCTTAAAGAACGAATAAACAATAAATTCAACTCAATTCAAACCCTTAATATCAATTATTTAATGTTGACTATATGAATTATATTTTTTGTTGTGTTTATATGAATTAAAATTTTCCATCTTCCTCTATCCAAAAATATTTGTAGTTTCTGTATAAGATTAAAATTGTAAGAAAGTTAATTACCCAAAAAAAAAAAAAATTGTAAGAAAGACAAAGGATTTGTCCAGTAAAATGATGGGCCTAGAAATATTGCGGAAAAAATTATTAGCCCAATCAAAATGGATCAAGAAAATAGCCCAACCACTCTCTCTCTCTCCCTCTCTCTCTCCCCCCTCCAAAACAAACAAAACAACATAATTCCAGAACATTTCCCTCCAAGCTCCACCTTAGATGCCCCTCAAGATCCCATCCAAAATCTGTTAAACCTTCATGTAGTGATTCATCTCCTAAGTGATCGAGGGCAAGATCATCTTCTTATGCTAAAATCCGAGGGACGACAACGGCACAGCTTTCCAAATCGTAGTTTGTCGGCGAACATGGACGGTTAGGCCTTCTGCAACGGTATTATCCTAGCCATTTGTTTCGGTGAGTGTTCTGATCTAAATAACCCTAAACCCCAAGAGAAAATCAGTCGGTTGGAGCTTTCTATTTGGAGTAAATATTTAATATTACCCTCACTGAATATAGTAAACTCTGTTAGGAATTTAGTTTTATAAATTAAATTGTGTTTTTTAGTTGTCCTAGTCTTTAGGAGTCAGTTGCTAGGAGTATCAGTAATCTAATCTGTTCCTTTGTTCTCTGCTACTGTTATGAGGCAGTTCCTAAATTAGTGGCATGTTAGTTGATGTAATCTTCTATTTAAGGAGTTTGATCTGATGAATAAATTACTACTTCAATATTCCAGCATATCATTCTTTTCTCTGATAAATTATAACAGTGGTATCAGAGCTTGTTTCAAAAACAGGAGACGTAGAAATTGTTGAAAGCTGTAGCTTTTATCTACTTCCTCTTGTTTTTCTGGGCAATAGCAGTTCTCTTTCAATGGCGTCAGTGCAATTTGTGCAGCCTGCTATACCTAGATTTGATGGTCATTATGATCATTGGAGCATCCTAATGGAATACCTCTTGAGGTCCAAAGAGTATTGGCATCTCATTGAGGTTGGATATACAGAACCGGCAGAGTCTAGCACTTTGACGGATGCTTAGAAAGTGAAGCTGGAGGAAATCAAATTGAAGGACTTGAAGGCAAAGAACTACCTATTCCAGGCCATTGATCGCACAATCCTGGAGACCATACTCACCAAAGATACTTCAAAACAAATCTGGGAAGCAATGAAGCAAAAGTATCGAGGCAATGTAAAGGTGAAACGATCTCAACTTCAAGCACTTCATTCGCAATTTGAGACTCTTCGCATGCAGCCGACAGAGTTAGTGGAGGAATATTTCTTCAGAACTATGTCTATTGTGAACAAGATGAGATCGTGTGGAGAAAAGTGGAAGAAATAACTGTGGTTGAGAAGATTCTTCGTTTAATGACGAAGAAGTTCGACTACGTGGTCTGCTCAATTGAGGAATCAAAGGATCTTGATGTCCTTTCGATTGAAGAATTGATGAGTTCGCTACCTGTCCACGAGCAGCGAATTTATCAACATGAAGTAGTGGAGCAAGCATTGCTGGTGCAATACTCGTCCAACAACCCATCTTTGCAACAGAAGGGTTCTGGGCGTGGAAAGGGAGGAAACAACACCAAAAACAAAAACCAAGGCAGCAGTAGAGGACGGGATGATCACCACAGTGATGACCATGAATCAAAAGCGTTTGACAAATCCAAAGTCAAATGCTTTAGATGCAACAGGTACGGCCATTACCGTTCTGAATGTCGGATAAAGATGCACAAAGGAAAGGGAGCTAAATCAAATTTTGTTGAACAGGAAGAAGAAATTTCTCTTTTAATGGCATGTAATGTAGCTGAGGAGTCCCATGAAAGCATGTGGTACTTGGACATAGGATCAAGTAATCACATGTGTGGGAACAAGTCCATATTCTCTGAATTAGATGAGCCCTACTGTTCATCTGTTAAATTTGGAGATGGCTTGACCATCTCTGTTATGGGAAAAGGCAACGTACAAATTCAGACCTCTAAAGGTACTCATCAGACCATTTCAAATGTATTCTATGTACCAAGTTTGATGAGTAATCTGCCGAGTGTTGGTCAACTTCAAGAAAAGGGCTATGAGATCATCATTTAGGATGGGACATGTCTAATTCAGGATTCAAGGAAGGGTCTGATTGCTAAAATTAATGTGACGGCAAATCGGATGTTCCCTTTATTGATCCAAAATACCAGTCTTCCTTATTTTTCTGTTATGGTGAAAGACTCAGCATGGCTGTGGCATTTCCGTTATGGTCATTTGAGCTTCTTTGGTCTCAAGCTGCTTCAACAAAAGAGTATGGTGTCTGGTCTTCCACACATTGATCATCCATCACGTGTTTGTGAAGAATGTGTGATTGGGAAGCAACATCGAGACCTTTTCCCCAAAGAGAAGCATGGAGAGCCAAGAAGGTGTTGGACCTGGTGCATTCCGATATATGTGGTCCCATTAATCCGTCGTCCAATGGTATTAAGAGGTATTTTATTACCTTTATCGATGACATTAGTTGTAAAACATGGGTCTATTTATTGCAAAAAAATTTGAAGCTTTGTTAGCATTCAAAAATTATAAGGCCTTTGTTGAGAAAGAAGTTGGGCAACCTATTAAAACTCTACACACAGATCATGGTGGAGAATATAACTCACAGGAATTCGCAAATTTCTGTGAGACGCATGGAATCAAAAGGCAGCTTACAACTTCTTACTCTCCACAACAAAATGGTGTAGCGGAATGTAAAAATCAGATGATTTTAAATATGGTGCGGAGTATGCCGAACAGATCTTTTCTTCCTAAAAGATTTTGGCCAGAAGCAGTCTTGTGGAGTATTCATCTATTGAACAGAAGTCCTACGGTTGCTGTTCGAAATAGAACACTTGAGGAAGCATGGAGTGGTCAAAGACCGAATGTCGATCACTTGCGAATTTTTTGGGTGCGTAGCATACGCACATATACTAGATAAGAAAAGGAAGAAGCTGGAGGATAAAGGAGAAAAGTGCATCTTTCTTGGGGTAAGTGAGCAGTCAAAGGCCTACAAGTTGTTTAGTCCCATCACCTGCAAGATCATTATCAGTCGGGATGTGATTTTTGATGAGGAGAGGACGTGGGCAGACATTTCTAACAATTCCAGTCAGAATATTACTGTGAGCTTTGATGATGAGGAAGAAGAAAGCCATTCTCAAGTTCCAGTGGGTGAACATTCCAGCGCTTTAAGTCAACCTGCAGTGTTGTTTGAAGAAGATGACTCTCAAATTTCAGCCATATCCCGCCCAGAACGTATCAGAAGGAGACCGGCATGGATGCAAGATTATGAGGTACGTGGAGTTGATCAATCAGATGATCCACTCACACATTTTGCACTATTTGTAGACTGTGATCCTGTTATGTTTCAAGATGCTGTCAAAGACCCAAAATGGCAGAAGGCTATGGATGACGAAATCACAGCTATTGAGAAGAACAACACCTGAGAACTGACCGATCTTCCCAAAGGACAGAAGTCAATTGGTGTCAAGTGGGTCTACAAGACAAAGTTGAATGCAGAAGGAAAGTTGACAAGTACAAAGCTCGTCTAGTTGCAAAAGGTTACAAGCAAGAGTTTGGTGTTGACTACAAAGAGGTTTTTGCTCCAGTTGTAAGACATGATACCATTCGATTGGTACTTGCATTGGCAGCACAAAACTCGTGGTCAATCTTCTAATTGGATGTGAAATTTGCGTTTCTACATGGCGAGTTGGAAGAATCTGTGTATATTGATCAACCTCCTGGATATTTTCAAAACGGGAATATGAAGAAGGTGTACAAGCTAAAGAAGGCTTTATATGGGCTGAAACAAACTCCTCCAGCTTGGTACAACTGCATAGCTACATATTTCTCAAGGTCAGGCTTCCAACAATGTCCACATGAGCATACTTTATTTGTCAAATCTGGATCTGTTGGTGAGTTGTTGATAGTATGTTTATATGTCGACGATTTAATTTTCATTGGAAATAGTAGTGCTATGTTTGATGATTTCAAAAAATCAATGATGTCGGAGTTTGAGATGTTTGATCTAGGTTCGATGCATTACTTCCTTGGCTTTGAAGTAGTACAAAACTCTGTTGGGATCTTTATCTCACAGAAGAAGTATGTTCGAGAGATCTTGAAAAGGTTTCAAATGACAAATTGCAATCCTGTTGGTACACGGGTTGAGCTTGGGCTGAAGCTTACCAAAGACCATGAAGGAAAGAAGGTTGATGCAATTTTATACAAGCAAATTGTGGGAAGCCTTATGTATTTAATTGCAACAAGACCAGATATAATGCATGTAGTCAGTCTTATCAGCAGATATATGGAAAACCCTACAGAAATGCATCTTCTTTCTGCCAAAAGAATTTTCCGATACTTGCAGGGAATTATTGACTTTGGCATATTCTACAAGAAAGGAGAAACATCTGGTTTATTTGGCTACACGGATAGTGACTACGCAGGTGATCCAGATGATAGACGAAGCACTTTAGGCCATGCATTTATAATGAGCTTTGGGGCTGTATCTTGGTCATCAAAGAAGGAACAAATCGTTACTTTGTCAACCATTGAAGCTGAATTTGTCGCTGTTGCGGCGTGTGCATTTCAAGCAATCTGGTTGAGGAGACTTCTTGGAGAATTACACAGTCCTTAGCAAGGCCCAACTGTGATCTATTGTGACAATAGTTCAGCAATCAAACTTTCAAAAAATCCAATTCTGCATGGAAGAAGTAAACATATCAATGTGCGGTATCATTTTTTGTGTGATCTTGCAAATGATGGCACTATTGATCTGATCTACTGCAAAAGTGAAGAACAGGTTGCGGATATTTTCACAAAGCCCCTCAAATTGGATGTGTTTGTGAAGCTGTGAAGCTGTGAAGGCTACTTGGTGTTTGTTCCATGGATGATCTAATTTGAGGGAGGGAGCTGCAANGGCTACTTGGTGTTTGTTCTATGGATGATCTAATTTGAGGGAGGGAGCTGCAAGGTTACTCGACAACAAGCAAGCTAAGAGAGACTAGTTGCTGGAGGGGTTGGACCGGTGAAGTACTCTTTTAAATTGAATGTCAGTAGAACACTCAGTTTAAGGGAGGGTGTTAGGCATTTAGTTTTATAAATTAAATTGTTTTTTTTTAGTTGTCCTAGTCTTTAGTAGTCAGTTGCTAGGAGTATCAGTAATCTAATATATTCCTTTGTTCTCTGCTACTAGTATGAGGCAGTTCCTAAATTAGTGGCAAGTTAGTTGATGTAATCTTCTATTTAAGGAGTTTGATCTGATGAATAAATTACTACTTCAATATTCCAGCATATCATTCTTTTCTCTGATAAATTATAACAAACTCCACTTCTTTACATCGGTTAGTTACTGAGTTGTTTGGATTTACTTGCTTAATTATTGCTTTTTTTTTTTTGTGATGGGTAATTCATGATGTCACAGTTACATTCGGAATAATTTACAACTTGGATGTTATGGGTGTGAATTTTTTGATGACCACAAAATGAGGATGTAACGGGTGACCATTGTTACCTTTCCAATTTTTACAACTATTGTACAAGGTAGCAGGTGTTCAGCCAACCTCTCTTATCCCTTCAAATATACTTGATTTTACCTGCATATATAGCACTTATGCCTTAGTTGTTGCCTAGGCTTGCAACTAATTTAAGTATTGATATGGACTCATTGTCATGGATAAAAGAATCAGACCAAGTCGATTCATGTCTGACTGAGCCAGTCTATTTAGCACAAGGACTATCATATGCACACATCTAAGTAGAATTCATGCACACATTTAAAGTTAAGCAATGCTATTGGGACCTAATTTACTGTGATTTTTGGATTCACTGTAAACCCCATCAAACATTAGAACTTGGTGTTGATCCCATGATTCCTACGAAATCACACCATTATGTCAGCAAATTAGGTCAGATGTTTAGGTCATAATAATATTACTCTTTAAAGTTACTTTCGGTATGGTACCTCATTCAGTAATCAGTATTGTAGGTGTCCTCCTGATATATTTGCGTAGTTCTGATTTTTGTTCCATTGTTTTGCGCAGCTCTTGATCTTCTGGAAAATGGCAAGGTGCAAGCAATTATTGGTCTGGAAATGTCATTTGAAGCAAAGGTTTTGGCCCTATTGGGAGACAAAGCCAATGTTCCTATCCTTTCTTTCAGCACAAGTCCTTCATCCTCCACTGAATATCCATATCTTGTTCAAATTACACAAGATGCATCCATTCAATTTGAATGCATTGCTAGCATTGTAGACTCATTTAAATGGAGGGATGTTGCTATTATATATGAGGACACCGATGAAGGGAGAGAAATCTTGCCGTATTTGGTTGAATCTTTCCAAGACAAGAACATTCAAATAGCTTGTAGAAGTGCCATTTCTCCCTCAGCCACGGATAATCAAATCCTTGAAGAGCTCCATAAGCAGATGAGCATCCAAACAACTGTATTTGTTGTGCATATGTCACCTCCTCTCGCGTCTCGCCTTTTCTTGATTGTGAAAAGGTTTGGAATGATGAGCGAAGGATATGCTTGGATTATAACTGATAAGACTATGAATCTCTTCCGTTCATTGGATTGGAAAGTCATCGAGTCATTGCAAGGGGCATTGGGTATTAAGTCCTACATTCCCACATCAACCGAGCTCCACAACTTTACCAGAAGGTGGAAAAATGAAGTTTACAAGGACCCTACTATAGAAGTGAAGCATTTAAATATGTTTGGCATATGGGCATATGATGCAATTTGGGCACTCGCAAAGGCCTTCGAGAGGGTAGGGGCTGATACTCCTGCTGCCATGGATGATCAAGGCACAGGATTGAACTCAGTCTATTTAGCTAACATTTCTGTCTCCGAAATTGGCAGAATACTACTGAATGAGTTACTGAAAATCAGATTCAAGGGTTTAAGTGGTGAGTTCCAAATTCTGAATGGAAAACTGGCCTCCAATGCATTGGAAATTCTGAATTTGATTGGCAAAGGAAAGAGAAGGGTTGGGTTTTGGACATCAACAAATGGAATCACCAAAGTAATATACTCATCCGGTAACAGAAAGTATGGATCTTCCAGTAACAGTCTGGAAACCATTATATGGCCAGGAGGGTCTGCAACTATTCCAAAGGGTTGGATGATGAGAATGGGTGGGAAAAAGCTCAGAATTGGTGTTCCAACAAACTCAGAATTCAAGGAGTTGGTGTCTGTGGATCGAAATCCTGAGACCAATGAAACAACTGTGTCTGGATATTGTATAGATGCATTCAATGCTGCCATGGGAGCCTTACCATTTGCAGTAACCTATGAATTCATTCCATTTGTGGGCGACAACGGAAAGAATTTAGGATCGTACAATGATCTTACCTATCAGGTGTATCTACAGGTATGTCTATTTCCCACAATAGAGAAATGACTTTTCAGCAAAATTAAAATGTAAAGGGTTAATGTCACTTTAGCCACATGAAATATTTTAGAATTTTCACTTTGCTCCCACAAAGATAAGAAGTCTTATATTGACCCTTGAAGTTCTCAATATTTTATTGTCCAAGAAAGATTTTCTAATCTTTTTCTTATTTTCACAGACAGGAAAACACAGGCATATTTATTCCATGGTTATATATATATATATANTAAAAGTTGCACTTTGCACCCTAATAAATAATTATCTTAGGTCGTGTGTGGCTGGTGGGATATTGACAGACAGACGTCTTGTTTTCTAATTGGGGCACTTGGTTACTGTGTTAAAGATATTCAGAGTACCAGATGAAGCTTTTTTTGATGAGAAGTACCATATGAAACTTTTTTTTATTAACTTTACATAAAATTTCCGAATCTTTTTCTTATTTTTCAGAGACAGGAAAACACAGGCATATTTATTCCATGGTTATATATATATTCAATATATTAAGTAAGAAACTGACTTAGTGTCTTTAATTTCCCAAAAAACCTTCTTGATGATACATTCTGTTCGCTTATCTTTACAAATTACACAAGAGGACACTCATATTTCGAAGGTAACATAGAGACCCTCTTGAGTTTTATACTAACAGGATAAAGTGGGAGACTCTCCTTGGTCTCTCAACATCCACATAGGTTACATTGAGCTTGGACTTCAGAAGTGTTTTTGTAGCAACATATATAGCACTTTTGAATAATTGTATGGAGACCTCCTCACATTGCATGTCTTAAAAAAAATTTCAAAATTTATATGTTGTTACAAAAACACTTGTCACCAATTGAAATTGATAAAAAATAGGCATTAGAAGCCAGTACCAAATATTTAGGATAAAACAATTGTTCACTTAAATTGAGTTTAGTTTACTGATACATGTCACGAGTTCTACTAATGTCAAACAGTGATTTTATTTGTGTTCTCTTGAATTATTAGAAATATGATGGAGCTGTGGGGGATATAACAATTATGGCGAATAGAAGTCAGTATGTTGACTTTACAATTCCTTTCACCGATGAGGGTGTCGGACTGATAGCTCGTAAACCTATGGATAACAAAAACATGTGGATCTTCTTGAAGCCTCTTGATGGGAAGCTATGGCTAGCAACTGCAGCTTGCTTCATATTAACGGGCTTTGTGGTTTGGGTTATTGAACATCCCATAAATGAAGAGTTCCAAGGTTCACTAGCTCAACAAATTGGAACTGTGTGCTGGTTCTCTTTTTCAGCTCTTGTTTTTGCTCATAGTAAGCTCTCTCTCTCTCTCTCTCTCTCTCTCTCTCACACACACACACACACACACACACACACACACACACACTCACACACTAAAATGACATATAAGTAATGAGTGAATTTACAATGAAGCCATTTCAACTCACACCCTGACGAAACGGAAGCCCTTCTCATGATTCTTTGTTGGGTGTTAGGGGCTAACAGTGATAGATAGTTAGTTTCTTGATTGTATTGATTAGTTGGGTTTTGTATTGAATTAGTAATTTGCACATAGTTGTTGGCGGTTTGCATGTCTGGTGCTTGAGAAAATGTCCAAGCCGTGAATGTACTCATGTAACTTGACTGCAACATATGAGTGAATAGTGATTGTAGGTGGAGATGGTGTCACCACTGTGTTGTTGCCGATGTGGTTAATTGATTTTTTAATTGTAATTTGGTTATACATGTTAAGTGTTTAGGTCATTTTACTAATATTACTAACGGAGCTAACAGTGCAAATTGGTCTAAATCCACATGGGGTCATGGTGGTAATATTTGAACCACAGGGGATAAAATGCTTCAGACCCAAACCACAAGGGGGAAATTGGAAATTTCTTTAAAATATAGGTGACCCATTAACTGACTATGTGGGTTGACATTGCAGGAGAGAGATTGTTAAGCAATTTGTCCAAATTCGTGGTGATCATTTGGGTCTTCATACTGCTCATACTGACTTCTAGTTACACTGCAACTTTGAGTTCACTGTTGACGGTTCAGCAAATTCAAGAATCAAAGAGGGATTATATAGGTTACCATTCTGACTTTTTCGGTGGGCAACGATATATTCCTATTGCCAACAAAGTGAATTTCAAGGATGATAGGCTTAAACCCTATACATCACAGGAGGAATACGTCGATGCTCTGTCAAAAGGAAGTAAGAATGGCGGTGTAGACGCCATCGCTGATGAAATTCCATACATTAAAGTTTTCCTTGCCAAGTATCCGGCTGACTATGCTATGATCGCTTATGAATCTACCTCCAATGGCTTTGGCTTTGTGAGTATCTTCTTCTAAAATGCCATTCCTTCCTCTATAAAAGTTTGCTTTTGTCATAGTTCTATAATTCTCATTCAGTTTATTGAACTGCATTGTTGATATTGATCCCAAAATAGAAACAGTAGGTACAGCAAAACCATAAACCACTGGCAATCGCACCCTGTGAAAGTTGGATAGGTTCAATAAATGGTGATGGTGGTCTCCTAAAAAGATCTACTAAATTCATCAAGTTGTCTATGAATATGTTTTTTGTCTTTTTCTTTGTTCTGGCTATGTAAGACATAGCTAGGACAAGTATCGGAATTAATCCCTACAAGATAGTAAGAATTTTAACTTTTTTGGGAAAATGACACTTTGTCTCCTAAAGAGATTATAAAATTTTTAACTTCCTCCTTCAAGATTAAAAGTCTTGTATATTCCACCTAGAATTTCACAACAATTGCGAGAATTAATCCCTGAGGGATGACCTTAGGAGGAGAGTAAATAGACTGTTAGTTTTTGGGCAAGTAACACTTTGCCCTTTAAAATATTAAAAAAAAATTACTTTATACTCTCAGATTAAAAGTCTTACATTTCACTTTTTTTAAAATCAGAGTATAAAGGGCAAACTAAAAATGTTAAAAACTTTAGGAGATGAAGTTTCAATAGCCCTACCCCCTCCCCCCCCC